CAGTGTCCCCAGCTCTTTCCCTGGACATAAGGGACATGGAGAGACACGAAGCCAGAAGGAGAGACAAAGAGATGGCGGAAAACCCCATCCGGTACCGGCCCCCAGGTGCTATCCCCAGTGCCGTGCCCCTACCCCATAACATCGCTCTGCCCCATAACATCGTCCCAGGTGCCATCCCCCGCTGTCAACCCCTCGGTGCCATTCCCCCGATTCCATCCCCCTGACCCATAGAGTGTCGAGTCCCCCCTCCCTGACGTCACACCGCCCCCCACGACATCAAGCGCGCACCCGCCTGCACGAGGTGGTCGGCGGTGGGAAAGCGCTTGCGTGCCGCGGAACTGACGGCGCGCAGCACGAGCAGCGCCGCCAGGCTCCCGTAGCGCAGCAGCGTCCGGCGCAGCAGCCGCCCGCGCGCGTCCGCGCCGTGCACGCTCCCGGCCACCGCCAGCATCAGCCCGTCGGGAGCAGGCACGGCGCGGAACTGCCCCCACCAGCGCTCCAGCACCAGCGCCACGTAGAAGCCTGCGGGGGCAGCGTGGGGCGATGGGGGGGGGGGGGGCAACAGGGGCACGGGGATTGCTGGGAGGGGGCACTGGGGAAAACTGGGAGCATTGGAAAGGGGTGAAACTGGGGGCACTGGGGCAGTGTTGGGGACACTGGGAACGCTGGGAGAGGGCACTGGGGGCATTGGAAAGGGGTGAAACTGGGGGCACTGGGGGCTGTGTTGGGGGCACTGGGGAAAACGGGGCACTGGGGCATTGGAAAGGGGTGAAACTGGGGGCACTGGGGCTGTGTTGGGGGCACTGGGAGGGGGCACTGGGGCATTAGAAAGGGGTGAAACTGGGGGCACGGGGGTGGTGTTGGGGACACTGGGAGAAGGGGCACTGGGGAAAACTGGGAGCATTGGGGGCATGAAAAGGGGTGAAACTGGAGGCCCTGGGGTGGTGTTGGGGACACTGGGAGAGGGGGCACTGGGGAAAACTGGGAGCACTGGGGGCATTGAAAAGGGGTGAAACTGGGGGCACTAGGGTGGTGTTGGGGACACTGGGAGCGGGGAGAGGGAGCACTGGGGAAACTGGGGGCATTGGAAAGGGGTGCTGTCTGAAACTGGGGCCACTGGGAGGAGGTAATGGGGGATACTGGGACCACTCAGAGCACTGGGACCACTGCTGGGGACACTGGGAGGGCTGTTGGGGGCACTGGGAGGGCTGTTGGGGACACTGGGAGGGGATGCTGGGGACACTGGGAACAGTACTGGGAGTATTGGGGTCTCACCCAGCACGAAGGACACGGGGATGAGGTTGGCTGATTTGTCACAGTAAAGCACAAGCTTCTCAAAGAGCCTCTTCTGTGCTTCCGACAGCAGGAACCTGGGCCATGGGTGGGGGTCAGCAGCGGCCCCCACCCGTGTGTCCCCCTGCACCCCATGTGTCCCTCTCCACACTGTGTTCCCCCATATGTCCCCATTCCTATGTCCCCCATCTCCCCCTGCATCCTGTGTGTCCCCATATCCCCCCATGTCCTCCCCATATCCTGCCATATCCCCCCATGTCCATAGGCACCGGTAGGCCAGGCTGAGCACCAGGTAGGCAGTGAGGAAGAGCAGCAGCTCCCGGTAGAGCAGTTTGTAGATGCTCCCACGCCAGAGCAGCAGCAGCCGCGAGAAGCCTCCGAAGCGTGTGGTGGCCACGCGTGACGTGTATGTCACCGTCATGGCAGGTCTAGGGACACCCGAACGCTGTGGGGACACTGAAGCGATACCCAGGGGACACGAGGCACGGGGACATCAGAGCACACCATGAGGACACTAAAGTGACACCCAGTGGCCACCCCCAGCCCCCCAAATCCCCCCACTCACCTCAGCAAGAGCTGCACGGGGGCGGCCACCACGGCTCTGGGGCCACAGTCCCTGTCCTGGGGCTTTAAATACCATCCTGGGGCTGGCCCTGCCCTGGGCAGGGGCGGGGGGGAGAGGGGATGGGGACACACGTGCCCCCAAGGGGAGGGCTGTCTGGGTGCTTTGAGCCCAGCCCCTTCCCCACAGGGGCATGTTGGTGGCCTTGGGCGCCAGCCCTGGCTCTGTCCCAAAGCCCTTGTGCCAGCAGTGGGGTCACAGGGACAGATCCCAGCAGGACACGGGGGGAGCGCAGAGCCCCCTCCACCCCATTGCGGCCCTGTTAATCCACCCCAAGCGCTAATGAAGGTCCCCCATGTCCCACCAGGCCCAGGGCCAACCGGTGTTAACGTCACCCCCCACATACCGTGTTGGACCCCCCCCACCAAACAGCCACACGAAAGCGGCTCCACTGCTGCCAGAGTTTATTATTTACACAAGCCCGGGGAGAAGGGTGGTCCTTTGTGGCCCCTTCCCCAGCCCTGGGGACACATGGATGGGGGGGGGATAATATGGGGTGCCCCCCCTCCCCCCGGTCCCCCCGGGGGTTTATTTGGGGCTAGGGGGCTGGTAGGGGTCCAGCAGGAGGCAGGAGAAGGTGTTGACTTTGTCGGCCCCTCGCACCTCATGCGGCAGCAGTGGCAGTTTCACGATGTGGAAGTCCTCGTAGAGGTCCTCCATCTACGGGTAGGGAGAGGGGCTGGGCTATGGGGACATCCCCTGAACCCACATAGCACCCCCAGGGAACCCTACAGCACCCCAAACCCCAATTCCATCCTCAAACCCTCTCTCAGACCCCCAGAGGCTCCAGGTTCACCCGGGGCTGCCCCAAATCCCCTCCCAGTCTCCCCCAAGCCACTCCCCCCAGCCCCATGGCCCCCCCAGGCCAGGGGGTACCTGGTCGAGGTACTTGGCCTGGATCTTGTGCCGGGCCTCGCACATCTTGCAGGGTCGCTGGGGGTCGGGGAACACGAGCTGGTTCACCACGATGTTGTGGGTGTCAATGCGACACTTGGCCAGCTCCTGGATGAGCCGCTCCGTCTCGTAGAGCGACAGGAACTCGGCGATGCACACGCAGATGAAAGTCGTCTGCTCCTGCCAACCCCCCCCCAAAAGCACCCTCAGGGGGACATCTGGACATGGGGACACAACCCAGCAACAATCTCCCCTCCGGGGAACCATTCCCTGCAGGAATGCACCCAGACCAGTTTAGCAACATCCACAGGGTCCCCACTCCCCTCTTTGGCATCCCCAGGTCCTCCCCCAGTGTCCCCGTGGCCCCAGATTCCACCCCAAAGCCCCAAATTCCACCCTCATACCCCATGGTCCCCTTTCCCCTCTAGCATCCCAGTGTCCCCATGGTCCCCATTTCCCTCATTAGCATCTGTGTCCCCATGATCCCCCATTCCCCTCTTTAGCTTCCCAGTGTCCCCACGTCCTTGTTGGTGGCCTCACAGGGTCCTTGAACTGCTCACTGACGGAGCGGATGACGGGCAGTGTCTCCTCCAGCTTAGAGGCCAGTTGGTCGGCGTTCATGTCCCCCAAGCCCAACATGTTACACATCTGAAGAACACAGCAGTGAAGCTCCAACCCCTCCGAGGTGTCTGCCCCCCACACTGTGGTTGCCCCTCTCACCTGGGAGATGAAAGGGCTGATCTGGTTCTTGATCTGCATGAGCCGGCCCAAGCCACGCTCCACGATGGTGGGGAAGTTGAGCAGCCGCAGCGTGTGGCCAGTGGGTGCCGTGTCAAATACCACCACAGAGAAGTTCATCCCTTTCACCAACCTGCCTCAGCACGAGGGGGTACACTCAGTGGGGCCACATGCCCCCCTTGGCTCTCTTCCAGCACCCCTCCCCAAGCGCTCACCTCATCACCTCAGCATAGCTCATGGCCTCATCGATGCCAGGGAAGGCACTCATGGCCTCCTGCATCATCTTCTTGCCCATGCTCAGCATGTTGTCCTCCTCGAAGAACTCATCGGGCAGCTCCGCCACCCCCAGGCTGGGGTCGATCTCCTGCAGAGGACTTGGGGAGTGAGAAAGGGGGAATGTGGTGGAGGAGCAGCACCAAGAACGCTGGGAATGCCGGGCTCACCATGGCAAAGAGGTTGTCATAGCCCTTCACTTTGGTGGGGACCTTGGAGAACTTCTGGTCGAAGGCATCAGAGATGTTGTGGGCAGGGTCAGTGGAGATGATGAGGACGCTCTCCCGCACCTTGGAAAGCTGCACGGCCAGGCTGCAGCTGGGGGGACAGCGGTGACAGCCGGGGTGCTCCTACCCCCCTCACACACACACAAACACAGGGGGTGGCCCCAGGCTTCTCCCAGGAGGATCCAACCGCATCCCTTCTGCCCTGAGAGCCTTGAGCCCAACATCCCCCTCTATGGAGGGCCGATTTTGTGGGGGCGTCAGCTGTGGCCGAACACCCCCGGGGCCAACCCTCTCCCAGCCTGTCCCGCTCCCCACCCCACCTATCCTGATCCCGATCCCGATTCCTCCCCAGCCCATCGCAATCCCCCTCCGGGTCCCGATCCCCCATTAGGCCATTCTGATCCCGATGCCCCCCATCCCCAGCCCGTCCCGGTCCCTCCCAGCCTGGCCTGATCCTGAACCTGATCCTCCCCCGGCCCGGCTCGAACTCCCCAGCCCATCCCGGTGTGTCCCCCCACCCCCCGGGGCCGCTCCAGATCCCTTCCCCGAGATCACGGTTCCCGCCGGGGTTCCGATCCACCCCAAGCCCATCCCGGTTCCCCGCCTCCGGGGCCCGTCCCAGTAACCCCGCACCTGCAGGTGGTTTTGCCCACGCCGCCCTTCCCGCCCACGAAGATCCACTTGAGGCTCCGCTGCTCGATGACATTCGCCAGCGTCGGCTCCAGCGGCTCCACGTCGGGCGCGTCCTCGAACTCCTCCGCCTCCGGTCCCCACCCGCCGCCGGCCGCTGCCGCCGCCGCCGCCATCTTCCCCCGCGCCACCAGGCGGCCCTCTCGCATCCTCATTGGTTGCCACCCCTCCGGTCTGCCCCACCCCTTTGCACCGGATTGGTCACCGGGACCTAAGGGGCGAGGGCAAAAGCGGCGCGTTGCCCGGCAACGCCGCGCTGTCATCCGGCGGCGCCGCGCGCTTCCCGGCGTGCCCAGCGGCGCGGCGATCGCGGCGGACAAGATGGAGGCGCACGGTGAGGACGGGGAGGCCCCGGAGGCCCCGTCCCCGCCTCCCGGGCCCGGCGGCGGGGTCAACGTCTTCGCCAACGACGGCAGCTTCCTGGAGCTCTTCAAGCGCAAGATGGAGGCGGAGCGGGAACGGGAGGCGGCGGCGGCAGCGATGGCGGAAACAGCCGGTGGCGCCGGGCCCCGCCCGCCAGACGGCTCGAAGAGGAGCGGCGGCGCCCTCAGCTTCGTAAGGACGCGGGACCCGCGTCTCCTCCCGGCCCACCCGCTCCTTGCGGCGGGTTCGCGGGGGTCCTTTCGGGCCGGCTCCGGGGGTGGCGGCGGCCGCTGCCCCCCGCCAGCGGCTCTGTGCTGCGGGGGTGGGGGTCCCCAGACGCGAGTGCGGGCCCCGCTGTTACCGCCAGCGCCTTCCAGCGGGCATCTGCGTTCATGGAGCTGGGGGGCACGTACCGGGGGCTCCCCCGTGGTACCGGCGCTGCTCGCTCCCTAAGGGAACGTCATCCCCAAAGCGGGCAGGGACGGGGGGTCCCCGCTGCGGACAGCCGGGCTGCCCGTCCCTCCTGGCCCCGGGGCCGTGGGTAACGGAGGCAGTTGTGTCCCTTCCCCCCCTTAGGTGGGCAGGCGGCGAGGGGGGAACAAACTGGCCCTGAAGACAGGAGTGGTGGCCAAGAAGCAAAGGACGGACGAGGAGGTGAGGGCCCCGTGCTGGGGGACACACACTCAGCTGGACAATGGGAGCACTGGGAGGGGGTGCTGGGGTAAACTGGGGACACGGGAGGCACTGGAATGGGGTGGAAGGGATGCAGGGAGGGGGTGTTGAGGACACAGGGAGCACTGGAGGAAACCGGGAACACTGGGACTGCTGTTGGGGACACAGGGAGTGCACACTGAGGTAAACCGGGGATAGTGTGAGTACTGCAATGGGAACACTGGGGATGCTGAGGTGGGTATTGGGGAGCCAGGGAAGGGGTGCATTGGGAGGTGCTCCTCAAGCGCCCCCATGTCTCCCTGTGCTGCTGTAGGTGCTGACGAGTAAAGGGGACGCGTGGGCCAAGTACATGGCCGAGGTGAAGAAGTACAAAGCGCATCAGTGCAGCGACGACGACAAAACACGGCCGTTGGTCAAATAGCGCCCACTGGGCGTTAGAAATGCTCTTTCTGCAGGGCCCGAAGCCTTTTCTAGCTCCAAACGCCCCACCCCGGCCCGGGGCCACCGGAGCTGCCCCAATGGCAACCAGGACTTTGATGCCACCATGGACTGGCCCCGCCGCTTCTGCCCCCCCCAGGGGGGCTTCATTTGGGGTGGGAAAGGGGGGGGGGGGGGTGGAGGCGGCTGCTGCTGCAGCATTAAACACCTCAGATTTGGAGCTGCGTGGAGAGATTCTGGTGGGGCTTGTGGGTCACCCGGGATTCCCAGTCACTGCTATGGGGGGGTTATGGGCTCTCCCAGTCACTGCAGTGAGGGGCTATGGGTTCCCCAGCCCCTGCTGGGGGGGGTTATGGGCTCCCCAGCCCCTGCTATGGAGCAGTTACGGGCTCCCCAGTCACTGCAGTGGGGAGTTATGGGCGCCCCGGCTACTGCTATGGGGAGGCTTGGGGCTCCCAGCGCTCCCTGATCCCGTCCCCAGTCTTTTCCAGCAATCCCTGGTCTCATTCCCGGTGTTTCGCAGCGCTCCCTTGTTCCCTCACCACCACATCCCCCCCAACGCCCCCTTAGTGGTACGTCCCACGTCGCGGGGCACGCCGGGTAACACAGTTCAGCGCCGTGGTTGGCGGGAGCGACCACTGCGCATTCTCATTCCCGCCCACCATTCCCCACGTGGCCCCGCCCCCGCGCCACGTGATGCGGCCCGTCCTTCCCGCGCGGGGCGGACGGTGGCCGCCGGGGGTCAGCGCCCGCGTGTTGCGCTAGGGCCCCGCTGGTGACCCCCCGTTCCCCGTTAACTCTCCTCCCCTCCCTGATATATCCGGGACACCCCCCCCTTCCACTGTGCACCGGAACACCCCCCTTCAACCCCGGACAGGTACGGGGGAGGCGGGAAGCGGCGCGGGGCCTGGTGGCACCGGGCTGCAGGGGGGGTGGGGGAGGGCGTTATGGCGGTAAATGGGCGTTCGGGGGGCGGGATGGGGATGTGATGGCGGGAGAGAGCTGGGGGGGGGGTACAACTGGGTGTTATTATGGGGGTCAAACCAGAGCTGGGGGGGGTGGTTATAAAACTGGGGGGGGGCGTTATGGGGGCCAAACCGGAGCTGGGGGTTGCAAATGGGGTGGGGGGTGCGGGGAAAACAAAGGGGGGGGTTATAATACCGGGGTTCTGGGGTCAAAGAGAGGCTGGAGGAGCAAATGGGGAGCTCTACTCCCTGTATTCTCCTTATCCCTGTTGCTCCCCCCCGCCAGGCTGTGTGCCCCCACCGGAGCCATGGATTGGCAGCCGGATGAGCAGGGCCTGCAGCAGGTCCTGCAGCTGCTCAAGGACTCGCAGTCACCCAACACGGCCACGCAGCGCGTGGTGCAGGATGTATCCCCCCCAGGAACTCCCCCCGGTGTCCCCAGCACCCTCCCCATGTCCTCACCCCCCCCCCCCACCTTGACCCCAGCCCCCCGCCCGGTGCCCCCAGCCCTCCTCCTGGTGGCCCCAACACCCTCCCGGTGGCCCCCCTGTGTACCCAGCACCGCCCCCCATGGCCCCACACCCCCCCGGTGTCCCCAGCAACCATCCTTAACCTACAGAGCAGAAACTGAAGCAGTTGAACCAATTCCCCGACTTCAACAACTACTTGATCTTCGTCCTCACGCGCCTCAAGTCTGAAGGTCGGGGGAGGCCACAGGCATTTTGGGGGGGCAGAGGTGGATGCAGGAGCCGAGCTGCCCATTCCTGGCTCAGAGGTCCCTGCAGCCCCCCCATAAGCCTTTGTCGTCCCTCCTCAGATGAGCCAACACGTTCTCTGAGTGGCCTCATCCTGAAGAACAATGTTAAAGCCCATTTCCAGAGCTTCCCACAGCCCGTGGCTGAGTTCATCAAGCAGGAATGTCTCAACAACATCGGCGACGCCTCCTCCCTAATCCGAGCCACCATTGGTGAGCATGGGGGGGTCCCCAAGCAACCCTGCCCCCCACTTTGTGCTGACAACCACCCCATTCCCATCCAGGCATCCTCATCACCACGATTGCCTCCAAGGGAGAGCTGCAGATGTGGCCGGAGCTGCTCCCTCAGCTCTGCAACCTTCTCAACTCCGAGGACTACAACACGTGTGAGGTGTGTGGGGCCTGGAGGGGTCACCGGGGCGGGGCGGGGGGGGGGAGTCCGTGCCTGAGGCTTACCCCTTCTTGGCACCCAGGGAGCGTTTGGGGCCTTGCAGAAGATCTGTGAGGACTCCTCCGAGCTCCTGGATAGTGACGCGCTCAACCGGCCCCTCAATGTCATGATCCCCAAGTTCCTTCAGTTTTTCAAGCATTGCAGCCCCAAGATCAGGTATTGAGGGGTCCTTTGGGGGCACACCCACTGCAGCTCCATGGTGGGGTTGGGGGCCACTCAGGAGGGTTGGGAATGTTGGGGGGCGGCCCCCAGCCATCACGGTGGCTGCTGGATGAGGTGGGGTGGGAAATGGGTGATTCCTGGGCCCACAGCCACAGGTTGGGATTTGCATTGGGGGTATCCTCATCCTTCCCTCTAATTCCATTTGTGCCGCCCCCCAAGTGGTGATGATTTAGGGATCCTCCGCCCAGGTTGGGCACTTCAAGATCAGCCAACATCATCTCATGGGGATCATCCTGTGTGTGTGTGTCCCAAGTGTGGATTGGAGCAAGCCTGTGGGGTGCTGGGGTAGGGGGCATTGGGGCTGCCCCCCTCCTCCTTTTCACCTCATTTGCTAACGCGCACACACCCTGCCCAGGTCTCACGCCATCGCTTGCGTCAACCAGTTCATTATGGACCGGGCTCAGGCACTGATGGAGAACATCGACACCTTCATCGAGGTGAGTGGAACCCCCGCCACGGGAGCAGCTCCGAGGGGGGCCAGCAGCAAGTGTGTGTGTGTGTCCTCTTTCCTCCCCAGCACCTCTTTGCTCTGGCTGTGGATGAGGATCCTGAGGTGCGGAAGAATGTGTGCCGTGCACTGGTGATGCTGCTGGAGGTGCGCATCGACCGCCTCATCCCCCACATGCACAGCATCATCCAGGTGAGGCCTTGAGCGGCAAAAAGGGGGTGGAGCCCATTGGACCCCCCAGTGGGTGAGTTTTGGGGTTCATGTGTTGTGTTGCCCCCTTCCCTGCAGTACATGCTGCAGCGGACACAGGACAGCGATGAGAACGTGGCCCTGGAGGCCTGTGAGTTCTGGTTGACGTTGGCCGAGCAGCCCATCTGCAAGGAGGTGCTGACCTCCCATCTGGTGCAGTGAGTGCTCAGAGCACCCCCACCTCGTCCCATAGCATCCGCAAGACTCTCCTTGCCCCTTAATTCCGCCCCTTTTTCAGGCTTATCCCCATCCTGGTGAATGGTATGAAGTACTCGGAGATCGACATCATCCTGCTCAAGGTGTGAGGTTGGGGTGGGAATGGGAAGGGGGCTCCTTCCTATTCCTCCTTCTGCACTGTGAGGCTGGAAGTGGTTAAACTGGAGGGGCTGGTACAGCAGGAGCCACCCTGAGTCCCCCTGGATGTGATGACAGCTTCAGAGCTGATGCTGGTGATGGCTGTTGTGTTCGTACTGTCTGATCCGTCGGGCTGAGGATCCCTAGGGTAGGTGATGGAGGTTTCCTGCGGTGTGACATGATGTCCTGTTGTCCCCACAGGGGGACGTGGAGGAGGACGAGGCCATTCCCGACAGCGAGCAGGACATCAAGCCCCGCTTCCACAAGTCCCGCACAGTCACGTTGCAGCACGAGGAGGAGAGGGCACAGGACCCCGAGGATGCAGAGGATGAGGATGACGATGACACTCTCTCCGACTGGAACCTGAGTATGGGGGTGTCCTTTTGGGAGTGGCAGCCTCGGCTTTGGGGGGATAAAACCCAACATGGGATGAGATGGAGCTCGTTGGGGTGGGATTGACCCCCTGGCCCCGCAGGGAAGTGCTCGGCTGCCGCGCTGGACGTCCTGGCCAATGTATTCCGGGAAGAGCTGCTCCCACATCTGCTCCCACTGCTCAAGGAGCTGCTTTTCCACCCTGAGTGGGTCATCAAGGAGTCAGGCATCCTGGTGCTGGGGGCCATTGCTGAAGGTGAGTACTATGCTCATGCTGGGGGCCATTGCTGAAGGTGGGTGCTGTGCTCCTGCTTCTCGGGTGCTGTGCTCCTGCTTCTCGGGTACTGTGCATGACGGTGCCCATGCCCGCAGGCTGCATGCAGGGGATGGTGCCGTACCTGCCCGAGCTGATCCCACACCTCATCCGGTGCCTGGCGGACAAGAAGGCACTGGTGCGCTCCATCGCGTGCTGGACACTGAGCCGCTACGCGCACTGGGTGGTCAGCCAGCCCCCTGACATGTACCTCAAGCCTCTCATGACCGAGCTCCTGAAGCGCATCCTCGACAGCAACAAGCGAGTGCAGGAGGCTGCCTGCAGGTACAGGGACAGTGGGGACCACCCCCAGGGTTGGGGTTTTGGGTGCTGGATCTGGGTGGGAGGAGGAGTTTGAGGTGCTGTGATGAAAGGGGGGCAGAGCAGGCCACAGAGATTTAACTGCTCTGGAGCCAGGCTGAGAGCTGGGAGCGAGAGGCTGGAGAAGGCTCCAGGGGGACTTTAAAGCAGCTCCCAGTGCTTAAAGGGGCTACAAGAAACCTGGAGAGGGGCTTTGAACAAGAGATAGAGAAATGGGATGAGGAGGAACAGCTTCCAGTGGGAAGAAGAATTAGAGTTAGGATCTCAGGAAGAAGGGCTGTAGAACAGTGGAATGGGTTGAATGGAGGTTTGGATGAAGTATCCCTGGCAGTGTTGGAATGGGGTTTAGAGGGGATCCTGACTCTTCCTCCTCCCGCTCAGCGCCTTCGCCACGCTGGAGGAGGAGGCGTGCACAGAGCTGGTGCCATACCTCAGCTTCATCCTGGACACGCTGGTCTTTGCCTTTGGCAAGTACCAGCACAAGAACCTGCTCATCCTCTATGACGCCATTGGGACCCTGGCTGACTCCGTGGGGCACCACCTTAACCAGCCGGTACGGTGCGGGATGTCCCCCTTCACCCGAGTGTGTCCCTCTCCATGTCGCAGGCCTGGGACCCATGATGACAAGTGCCAACAGACATTCGAATCCCGAA